CTTCTTTCGTGGTAAATTGTGGGTAGCCCGAGGATAGATATCTAAATGGTTGCATAATATATACAGCATCCTCCGCCACGGCCATCGTATTGATATTTCCGAATGTAGGCATAGCATACAAAAGGGACTACGGAGTCGACTGTGCATGGTGTTTTCAGTGTCTTCGTTACTATATCTATTTGATCAGGCTAGTAATTTGGCAACAAATATTTAAATAAATATCACACAATTTCGTCCTTCAGGAAAAAAAGTTAAAACAGTACCGCATGCTTGTTCTTCACATACTACAATATTACTGTTCCCTCTTTGCTCTGCTGAAGACGCCCGAACGCAGTTAAGCTCAAAATGTTCAGAGTTTTTACTCTGAGAATATTTCATTTTACTAGATCTAGTGTCTCTCATACCGAGAAGTGTCAGTTAGCGAAGTTAAAATTTCTGTGTTTTAGAAGACTCAAAGCTGGCTTTTGCTTCCTGTTTGGCGTAAATTCTAACATTAATCTCCCAAGAACTCATGCTTTCTTTCCAGTAAGTCAACCGTAATTCCTGCGTGATCTCTGTGGCCACTCTTTCCTCCACGCCTAACCGTTCCAGAGTTTGTGGCCAAATATGCATTCAGGCGACATAATCTTACATTTTAACTAAATTGTTGTCTACATTAAAGATATTCAGATCCAAATAAAGTAACCATTGTGCGTTGGAAGAAATAAAGTCGTCATTAACCGTTTCATTTCCAAACACGCCATTTTTGGAATTTTAAAAGGGTCCTCCTGTGATAAATGCGGTATTCTTTATATTAATTGCTTCGTAATCCACCTGATATTGTCATACGCAGAGGCCATCTGCGCAACCGTTTTCGCCCCTCATGTATTCAACTTTCATTTCTAAATGTTGATAACCTTGATGGGTTCACCTTTCTTGTATTCCTCGGTCAAGCATGCATTTTCAGGCTCAGAAAATGGTTTTTGCGAACACTTCTATTCGACCTTGTGCGAACTTCCACGATTTATTCAGCCACTGCGCCTTTGTCGTAGCCTAAAATTTCTCTCTTATTTCGAAATGCACCGAACTGTTGATGAGCGTGGTGGATTCTTCTGTTCGCTTCTGCTATCAGCAAGGACGTATTACAGTCGCATCCCTGGCAACGCAGATCACTTCGTGACTTCTGATATCCCCTTCTCTTTTGGACCTTCACGTTCTTATGGTGAATGCGATGGGGTTACACTGCCTCGTCTCCCTGTATGTCGTTCCTGTAGCTAACCCTACGTTTATACGTTGGCGAACTTTAGATCTATGATGTCTTCCACGACAATACATGGTTCGAATCTTCACATGCTCTCATCCACACGAAGCGCATATTTTCTTCCCACAAACGATAGCTTGTCAGTTTCTCCTCAAAAACACTCAAATCTCTCTTAATTTATAAATGTTCCGAAGAATACCCAGCACTTCTTTTCGATATATAATATTAACAAACTTCAAACTGCAAAAATTAACACTTTATACCTTTTCGCAGAGCAGTTTGTTTTCTCATACAGTCTTTTGTGAAATGGAGCTTGCTGAAGTCCGCGAACTAGTTATTTGTTCACAAAGTTTTATAAAGACTGTTAGCTTTAGTAGCAGAAGCCAAATATCTGGTGGACTCGAAAAACCGCGTATTATACTACTTATTCGCGTCCTTTATCCAGCTGATCATACAGAACAGTAATGTGCACAATGTCAACATTATACTATAAATCTATGTTTATTACGACAGGGCCTTCTGGGCCCCTCAAATGCATTTTAAAATTTATTTATTTATATACAGGGTGTCCCGAAAAATGTACACACATCTTAGATAACTGTAGACTTGACATTTATCATAATTTTATTATTTCAAAAACTAAAAAATTTTAAAAGTATCATTATATTGTTTTTTCTACATTGCATGCTCTCAAACTGACGTTTATTTTGGATTTGGACGCTGCCGACAACGTGAATCAATGGACGCACACACCATGAAAAAACTCCCTTGATATTTATGTGTATTCATGTTCAATGGCTTCTCTCTTTCTCATTTATTTAAAATATAGTCAAAATGCAGTAAAAAAACAATAAAATGATATTTGTCAATATTTTTAATTTTCGAAATAATACAATTGCAATAAACGCCAAGATTACAATTATTTCAAATGTGTTTACAATTTTTGGGACACCCTGTATATGAGTTATAACCTGAATTCATAAAATTTAGAATATTTTGTTCTAAAATCGAACGAAGTCGGCAAGTGTGACTGTGGAGTCAGTTCTCCAGCAAGTGAAGATAATACAGGCTGTCCCAAAAAAATGTATACACATTTTGAACAATTGTAACTTTGAGGTTTATTATAATTTTATTATTTAAAAAATGCTAGAGTGTTAAGCAGTATCATTTTATTCTTTTTCCACTGCATTTTTACTATATTTTAAATATAGTGGGAAAGAGAGAAGCCATTAAACATGAATGCGCTCAAATACGAATGGAATTATTTTATGGTGTGTGTGACTCCATTTCTTCGCATTTTAAGCAGTGTCTGGATTAAATGGACCTCAGTTTGAGAATATGCGGTGGAACAACAATAAAATGATACTTGTTAATAATTTTACATTTTTGAAATAATAAAATTACAATAAATACCAAGTCTAAAATTATTTGAAGAGTGTATACATTTTTTTGGGACACCCTGTATATCCATCGGTAGGTGGATTTTCAGGTTGGTGATGGGACATGATCGCGTTTCTGGTTATTATGAACTGCTATCATACGCGCCTGGTTCGTAAGAAATCCTTAAGCATCCTTACGGTCTTCACATCGACTTCGTTCTTTGCCGTGATTGGCTCACCCATCCTCGACTTTGTTTTTATAGGGTAGAATTGGTTTCGGCAGTTTGCGCATCTTTGTCAGACTCTAACATGAGCTTCAATCCATACACTCAGAACGGGGGGTAACTTTACTTCATTATTTTATTTTACATATATAGTACATCTCTCGCAATCGCAGGTGCTGACTACGCCGTCATTGCATCGGATACCCGATTAACCGATGAGAGTGCTGGTCTTCTATTTTCTCGGGATTCTTCCCATATTTATAACATGTATGTCATGGTTTTCACGAAGTCTAAAGTTCAGAACACCAACTATTCGAATATCTCTAACGGGTTTTCATGGAGACATTCTCACCTTTATTAAGTTGCTCGAGAGTCGTGTTAAGGCAAGTTTACTCATTTTCTGACCTTTGTGCAGGAGTTCAAGTATCATCATAAAAAAGATATATCCCTAACGGCCTTGGCGAATCTTATTTCTGTTTCGCTGTACTCACGCCGATTTTTCCCATTCTATGTGGGCACACTCTTAGCCGGGCTTGATGAGAATGGGGAAGGCGCCGTTTTTTCATATGATCCTGTGGGCTCTTATCAGCGTGAGCATTACCGGGCATCCGGTACTAGTAGTGCTATCTTACAACCATTTATGGATAGTCAGGTGAGTGTTCTCCGTTCTTTTGAATACCTCCTAGATGCAAGGGAAGAACCTTGTAAGCAAGCCTACGAAGATTTCAAAGGAAGCAGCAATCAATCTTGCCAAGGATGTCTTCATTAGTGCAGCCGAAAGGGACATATACTGTGGTGATGCCGTCGTCGTGGATGTTATAACGGAAAAGGGTGTCGAACGGTTGAGCTTCCCGCTTCGACGCGATTGAGCGCGTTCTTTTTCGATTAAATATCCAAACACTCGACTGTCTTTTATGATGAGATGCCCTTTAATTCCACGGGAGTATTCGCCTGTATAGTTAGCCCCGGAGTTTCCTGCTACATGCGTCGTTAAGCTGAAACACTTGGTGTTAACCATCCCCTTCATAAACCATACCGCGCTCGCCGGGAATGCTCCTGCATCTTTATTTTCAATTTAGACTGATGTGAGCGTTGAACAATCGCGTCAATACCCTTACACGAAAACGAGTTTCCTTACTACAAGTGTTTGATCCAAAACGGTGAGAGACGAAGTGCCCAATAGATTCACACCTTCCTCATTACAGCGCACGTTTAGTGTTGCTACGGTTAGTACCTATCACTTCCAGCAAGGTGCCTTCGTGGTTGAAGGAAGGAGTCTATACTATGTTTTAAGAATCGCAAAGCCGACGTCTCTAGAAGTTGAACTGGTTGCTGTTAGTCACCGTCATAAGTTGACAGTCATGCTGACAAAACATTGGCTAAAAGATCCGCTGTCTTTTTTCTACATTGACTTTTAACAATATGTTCTTTGTGCCGTCTATGGCGACTAGCTGAAAGCCCCCACCTACCGACTACTGTTTGTTATGGACCTCAGAAGCTGGAAACTGAAACACGAATAACGTTAATGAATTTCTCGTATTCTCAAGGGCAACAAAATTTCCGGACTATGCAATAGATCTGGTTATTTTGACTTGCCTATTAACCTTATAACCTAGATGTTGTCAGTCGCAGCCTAGACCACCCGTATCCTGATAATTTTATGCTTCAATCTGCCACATTACCGCTCTCCTTTGCTGGTTAGCAATTACCCGTGCCGCCTCAACTAGTGTGGCTGCTTGTCACGATAACTTCCTTGGTTTTTTTCCATGTACACTTATTCCAATAGGTGCTGAAATATTAAAGTTTATGCTTGACCCAGAAACCCAAATGTGTGAGACTTATCCATTCGGCTCTCGCTTATTAACAAATAAGTCGCCTTTAAAGGAATGGCTACCCCAAGGTTGTTAATGTAATGCTTTTGTCGCGATCAATCGCCTATTCACCGACTTTTTGTGGTGAACCGCAACCCGAATTCGTCCAGAGATAATCTGGCCTTGTGAATGGTGTCTAGGCCCCTGAGATCGCTTCTAAACCAGTCAGCCTAAGAACCGCCTGTTATCATCTAAGCTAACTACTGAATGTAGCTTAGGGTCAGAGTTACAGTTTAGTTTAAATGTCTAATTGCAATGCCCGAGAAGATTCGAAATTGCACTGCGAACCACCAGCGAAAATAGTTTCGAGCCATTATAATTACCGGTCCTAAAAGCTGCAAAGGTATGAACACCCTCTTATGCGTTGAAAAGAATTCCTACGGATGATGTGGTTATACACTATAATGTACTCGAGAATTTTTACGGCTAAACTGTCGGCCCTAACGACGTATCTTAACTGGCTAACTGCATTGAATCAGGTTCGGAAGCATTGTCTAGATACGTAGTGAAGTTCTTGTGCATGGGAATTCTTTTATTTTGAACCACTTAACTGTAACAATCAGCAGCATGTACACGACTTCGGTCTTTTTGTTCTTTTAAATACCGAAGAAGACACATGACTTAGTGTAGCTTCAATTCAATAAAAAGGTGATGGCCTGCGGGTGTTGCCTCAAATCCCCGGTACTCCGAGAATTTTCGGGGTCGTTGTCTTTACAAGCAGTCATTGTTGGCTGACCCAATAACGTGGTCTTGATTTGCAAAGCTAATAGTTGCTTAGCTGGTCAGATCACAACGTCGCGCAGACTCATTTTACATAGTTGAGCCCTATGAAAACTTCGTATTTTGTGCTTGTTACGGCTGTTATCACGCCCAATGTAATCAGCCTCGACGTTGATAATCTATGTTTGGTAATCTATCGCAGTGTGTGGAGAGCTTGACCCACTCTTTCCTCGAGTGACGGAGACCAAATGCGGTCTTTCCAAAGACCGCTTCCATCTTTCGATTAACTGTGTCAAACCAGGTTTGGAGTTGGCTTCTTTGACACCTCCATGTGGGCACCGTCACCGGATCAAGCTCAAAGACACTCACCTTATGGGGGACGACGAAGAAGTTACCCAAACCACCTTAGTCGTGCCTAAACGGCCTGCGCTACCCCTGTGATGGTCTGCAGCAGGTATGGACTGTCTCATTCAAAGCTTATTGGATGTACTTCCCTCGAAAGATGGTTGTCGGGTAAAGATGCTCAAACGCTCCGGTATTCGCTCATCTTTTACGCGCAGAGCTAAGAAGTCAAACACGTATAGGACTGACCAGACGAATGCCCACTGCACTCATATCTTTGTGGCACTTGAGATGTCGTGTCAGTTCCAGAAACACTTCCCAACGATGATAGAAATACTTCGAACAGCGTCCATTCGGATGGCGATGTCGTCCTTGCTCCATCCATTCGGTGGCAGCCTCACCCAGAGTTATTTAAAATTAGTTACTTCTCCAGGTTGACAGCCAGGAATCCCAAATGCTGCAATATCTTAGCATTTGTGGATAAGCTGCCTGGTTTTGGCGTCTTCATTTGCCCGCTACAACGTAGTCTGTAGGTCATAAAAGCCAAATGCTAGAAGGCTGATATCGTCAGTGTAGTCAGCCAGCGTTCGAGTGTCACTTATGTACTATCGTCATAGTGTAGAGCCTTTTTAAGAATCCAGCCACTGGTATAATTTAACAGAACGAAAAGCAACATAAGACCTTGTCAAAAGCAAGGTCCAATATCAAACGGCTGAGAGACATCGCCGTGGACCAGAAGTTTCGCAGTGATGGAATAATATTAGGCTCTGATCACGACGAGGGTGTTTGCCGCCATTACGTTTACTCTCATTATCTGCCACGGGACATCACAATCGAGGAAAGCAAACGCTGCGACGAAGTCAACAAAGCAGAATGCCACGGGTTGCCGGCAGTTATGGTATAGTTCAAGAGTGCGCTGTGGTGCGACTAGCTGGTTGGCACATCCACGTCGAAGCTAACCTTGGTGGGGTCCAATTGTCAAGTCACGTTTTCGCTGAAAACGTCCGAGGGTGGTAAACGCACAGACCTTCACAGCAAAGCTAACGGGGCGCATGCGCCTTTGAGTCTTGCTCTTTATCACATGTCCATTCATGAAGGTAGGCTCCAATAATCTGCAACGACCACATGTCAGCGCGTTAGTTTAGACATCCCATAGAGGAAGGGTCCCAGAGTGTAAACACAGGATTTGTGGACCTCAATAGCCATGCCTTCTCTCAGAGCGCCTTGTTTTAGCACAGTGTCCTTATTGTATAGAGGCATTCTTTCCGAGATTGTGGGTCGTGTAACGCTGTGTTAGCTGGATAAGCAGAAAGGTCTGCTGTCACTGGAGAGCTGGAACGTGCTAAGTTGATTATCGACGTTAATAAGATGCTGGAATCATTTATGCCAATGCACAACGTTGGCCGATTTCTAAACGATACATCGTACAACACAGACAATGTCACTCAGTGCAGAGGGTTTATTAAAATAACAAGCGATTCCAGAAATTTGCCGAACTTCATCAATGCTTGAGGTCTGCCCCCTGTAGGTAGCCACTTCATAATTTTCTTCGTGGTCATTTAAAACCGACTGTGCCGTCAAAGACAGCGCTCTGAGACTTGCCACTTTCTCGATTCAGTGTTTGGCTGCAAATTAGCGCCGTCCTCTTGGCTGTGAGGGCCGTAGG